GTGTAAACATCACAATAGATCTGAAAATTAGGTACATGAAAAACGAAATGAATCTGAAGATTTCTACAAATGAAGTTTCAACACTGGTTCTTGAATTTTTCATTGGCACTATAAATTCTACAGTTTGGGGAGACAAATTTCATCTGAGATTGAAGTGATATCCAGATAAGAGATTTCTTCATTCTCTCATCAAATCTTCCAGGTAAACAGAGTGTTTCTGAACTCAACAGTTTTCACATAATATTGTTTGACATTTTCCTTGTTTCATGGCTATCTTGAATTTATAAGAAAGGAAATGATTACTCGCAATAGCCATAATGAGTGTAGTTCTGAGACTTTAATAATTCGTCGGTCACCAACCTCACTGAATTTTGCCATAATGAAAACTGATACAGGGTGGAAAGGATAATTCAGATATCTATAATCAACTCCGTGTATCTCGAAATATGAAACCGAAAACGTACAAGTCTGCATGTTCTCCTGTAACCCGATTAATACTGAAACACTCTATATACATAAAAATGGACACCTAATGTGTCAAAATATAAAGTATCGAATTGAAATCCATAAAAAAATATTTCATCGAATTGGTAAATCGTCTAAATAGTATAGAATCGACACTGTATTCTGTAGAACCGTAAACTATCAAAATGTAAAACATCGGGCCGTACTTCATCGAAATATGAAATTTCAATACGTGAATCATCGAACTGTTCTATGTCGAAATGGTATTGTTAAGAGTCATCATTCCATCATATCTGTATCTTATCAGAACTATATTCTATCGAGGCAGTAAATTATCATATCCGTATTCTGTCGCAACATCAGTCTATCGTACTAGTTCTCCATCAAATCGGCAATCTATCATAACTGTATTCCATCAGAATATCAATTCGTCATAACCGTATTTCATAGAAACCGTAATTCGTCAAAACCGTATTTCATCGAATCAATAAACCATCGTAATCGTATCGTAATCGTTTTGATGAAATACGGGTTCGATGAATTACTGTTTCTATGAAATACGAATCTGATGAATTACCGATTCTATGAAATACATTTTCTATGAAATGCCGTTATGACAAAATACGGTTATGATGGATTATTGATTCGATGAAATATGGTTCTGGCGAATCACGGTTTCTACAAATTACGGTTTCTCTGAATTACAAATTCGATAAGTGTTCACTCTGATAGATTAATGTTTTGATGAAATACGGATCTCAAGAATTGCTGTTTCGATGCTTAACAGGTTCTATATGATATTGTCTCGATATAATACGATTTTGATAATTTACTGTTTCTATGGAATACGGTTATGATGGATTACCAATTCTAAAAAATAAGGTATGATGTTTTACTTCTCTATGAAGTACATTTCTTCGATTAACTGTATGATGAGATACATTATGATCCTTTATATTTTGACGAATTATTGGTTCTATGAAGTACAGTTTCTACAGAATGCCATTATGATAGAGTTCGATTTGATGAAATACGGTTTTGATACAATACGATCTGAAGAAATATATGTACCCTACATAAAATATTATTAATATTTTCCATTTCCGTTAATTCTTATACCACCTTACTTTATGAAAACATCAGTCTCTTTATCATTCAGCAGCATCACGTTTCTTCATACCTGCATACCGATTCTGGAAACAATCTTCTCTCGACATTTTCTTTATTTATAATGAAACGTATTTTTATGTTATCATTCGAGTATAGTGACACTCCAGACTAGGGAATATAGCCCAACATATTTCACCTCTGGCCGCTTAATATGTCCCAAATGGGCAATTGAGCGAGCACAGACTCATATTTTCTTCCAGAAAGAAGCAGTGAAATATCTGAAATATCCACAAAAATATGCCGTTTTTCAGAGGGTATACAGATATATCTAATATCAAGATCCACCCTTGAAAATTACCTCAACGTGCTGGGTTTTATATTCTCATAGTAGCTCTTCCAGTTTTCCATGAAGATGATAAGACAGTGAAGAAAAATGATTAATACATACCCTACAAATTTGAACTTGAATCGGTTTCAGAAATTGTTAAAAGAAACTGCTCATAGAGCAGCTATTTTTCAGTGGATCTTCAGATGTCTTAAGATACAATTCTCACAAATCATATTTCTAATGGCTTGCAAAGTCTTGAGTCAATCAATCGACTTTTAAAAGCGTTTTCTCTGAGTTTTTGTATCAGTAAATGTACATATTCATTTCTTATACACTATGTATAGAGTGTGGCAAACAACTGCAGGTTTTAAGTAGCTCTCGATAGGAATATCATCAAAATTTCATATCATTGTGAAAAAAATACATGTCGATCCGTTAATTTTTCACAATATTTCTGTATACGGAGACTATACATGATAAGCAACTATTCTAACAGGGTTGGAGTTCTCACTTACAATTCATCTTAAATGATAATAATAAATACAATTATGATAATATGGAAGATAGTTTTAGTCAAATTCATGTGCATATCTGTATATGAATACGAGTATTGGTTTGACACTCGATTTGAATTTCGCTATAATTGTCTTTGGCGATGTTGACATAGTATGCATTATATTAATAAAAATTGAGTCATTTCAGTACTGTCGGTGTTATACTTGAAAATATAGAGTATGTCTAACACCAAGAGACCTATAGCTATTTTAGTAAGTATACCTTTAGATAGTTCGTGTATGGTACAATTAAGCTATAAGTACATTCGCACATTTAATAATTATGGAATTAAATCATTGAAAAGATCGAGGACAATGCTACAATTATATCCTTCATTTCATTATAGACTATTATTCGGAATATGAGAATTTATATTGACGATCAGAAATCAAATTTTTTGTGATATTATGTGATCGAATGCATATATCAGTACAATGAAATTGAAGATATTTCTGGACTTGTATCGATATTTGACGGACAGAAACTACATTTTCTCAGTTATTATTTTTCATAAATACACTCTCAATTACGAATAGTTCAATAAATAACGTGATTTTACCTAATGAAGCCACCAAGTTTGTAACTGTCATTGCAGTCTCTAGGTCCTTATATTTCCTTTATATATATCGAGATTATTTACTAGTATCTATATATGGCAGTGGGAATGTACAATGTATATCTAAACACTTATAAATATTTCAGTCTACGATTATTATGAGTAAGGGTACCCTATCTAACAGTATATCTTCGATATATTACAAGGTTATACAGTGAAACAATCATGCCTATAATATGGAGTGATACAACCCTTTTTCCATTCGAATCCTGAAGAACTTTCTGATTTCCCTTATCGTGCATGTATCACGATATTTTGTGCGAAATATACAATCATCTTTTAATCTCTAACAAACTAATATAGTCCAAATACCCGAAAGTTCTCATAATATTTCAATTACTTTTACAAAAACTACTACAAAAAATGCCTCAGTATCAAACAATAACATCAATCATCAACGTAGTCCTTTTTTTATTAAAATTTGTTGGACCATCTTGAGTTGATACTGAAGAAAACCTTGTTGAGAGATGTTGAGAGTATTATCATTCTCAGAGCTAAATAGAGCCAAAAACACAATCAACGATCTGTCAGTAAACAGAATTGCATTGAATGAAATTGTCATTGTTTCAAGCGTTTTATATCTCGTTTATTGAACACATAATTGTCCACCTGAACATGATCGAATTGCTACCCATTCCATGAATATCAAACGGTGGCTATGTGGAGTGTTTCGCCTCTATGTTGAATTTATCTCCAATCGACTGCATTTGACATCTAAATGCAAATTTCCACTGGGACATCGTGCATTACAGTAGATGACAAACACAGAAGATGCAAAGTAGACTGAATGGCAATCAACACCTCAGACAAAAAACAATAGATATAGATACCACGATTCAGTCATAAATCATGAAAACGTATTCCTTTGCTAACAATCACATTAAGAATATAGATGGAATTTCACTATATCAGAATTTTTCGATCAAGGTGTGGAAGAAAAATGCAGAGAAAAGGAAATTAATACATACATTGAAATAAGCTATAGATTTTCTTCAGATTACAAACCTCTATTGGTTGAAATCGACCGTACGAATCAAGTTACATACATATGAACCCTTTCAAAGAAGAAAAATCGCTCTCAATTGATGGCAATATTAAACTGGAAACTTTCCGCGTTCAAAAAAGAGAACAAAACAATGGAATGAAAACGCCACTTTAACGATTTATTTCCCAAGAAACACTGATTCTTATTTAAAGCCTAATTGGGTATTTGTACAAAGAACTGTTTCTCTGAAAATTTCCAGCGATGTTGTAATTGACTTTCGGCGAGAATTTTTGATGAAAGGAGAAGGCATTGTAATGATGGAATAAGAAATATCATTTTGACTTCATACCAATCTCAATAATGGTCCTTGAGAACTTTCATTATATTTCAAAATGAGTTTGATGGTTTTCAGCACTAGTTATGATGCTCTAGGAATACTCAATTCGAAATAGTCAATTTTATGCCTAAGTGAACAAACTTAAATGTGTCTGTAGTAATGAACATTTCTTCGTGATTTAGCTCCGTTAATGACTTTCAAAACTGAAAATTCAACACAACTCTAAACAATCTTGAGATGAACATCAACACAAATCATCAAAAAACTCCTGTAATTGAGATTACCAATCTACCTACCTACCAGTGAAGTGGTTAGTACAACTTCAATAGGGTTTCTTGATGTCGGTTTGATGAATTTTTTATTCAGAATAACGAATACCTCGAAACAAAATTGAAACGGAACCACCGTGTATTGGTACCTACCAAGGCATCTAAGAGAGATGAGAGAATTAACATCTACTTTTCAATTTTCACCAAGGAGTTATCACTGAATACTACTTATTCACTCTGAATCAACTCTGATTCAGATTAAGTACCTTCTAATCAGACATAATTATGGCATGCCAATTCATAACGCAATTTCAAAATAGAAGAAGAAGAAGAAATATCAAGAAACAAATATCAGCTCACAGTATGAGTTGAAATCGAACCTAGTTCAGATCATCAACAGAAATTGAAGCTAGCTACCAATAATTTTGGGACACAAATCGAAATAAGCACCAATTCCGAGTAACAAACCGCTTCATAGCGGTAGCAAACAAATCCTCCGCATCTCGATATACTCTCACAAGAGATGTACCCGAAACTCCTCCAGACCAAAATCTCCTTACGCTATGGGCCCCGCGCCACCTAGCGGCATCAAGCGAGCCACTCAGAAATCCTGTCGGCTAGCCGCCGCTTAGAAGCAAAAGTCTCCGAACGCGCTCCAATCGGCTTCTTCTATGCCCCCCACGGTGTAGTCGTCAGCGATGTGGCAGAACACCGATGACGTCACTGCGGCCACGTCATGAGCGTACAACGAATGGACGGTCCAGGCATTTTGGCCCCAGCCCCAGCCGTGGCCCCAGTCGATGCAGACTCCAGACAGGACGGTGTGGTCGGCTTCGTACGTCCTTTGTTTGCTGTTGGTGCAGGCGGAGGTTGTGGAGGTGGTTGAGGTGGTTCTGTCTGGGCAGCAGTTGGTTCTTGCTGCGCAGCCGTTCGACAGGTGCTGGCCTGGAAAAAGAGGTGCATTGAATGTTTACGGTAATGTCTTGATATCCTCTGAAAGCCGACGTTATGTTAACGTCTCTTTATAGTGAATCTTGTCCGCGATGTCATATTGGAAAAAAATACTCGATTTATGACGTCATTTCTTTACCACAACCATACAATTAGACAAGCTGATCATTTTTCTGTCAAGAAAATTTAATCAGATATTGGTAAATAATCCATCTATCACAATGGAATGATACAATACAATTTACTACTAACAGCTGAGTCAATTGAGAATCATTTTCAATCAACTTGAAAAAATAAAGATTCTTCTTGAGTGTGAGTTTTATTTTATTTTGTGAAATATATTTATGAATACACAATGTAACACAATTGAATTTGTATTTAGACGTGACGTATGTATACAAACCCATCAATACTTTATATTTCATTGAATCGAGCCTACTCGTACACGTTATACAGGGTGATTCAATGGGAAATGCGCATACAGTAAGGGTAGATGGAGAACACCAAGGTGCTTTTGAATAATCTATATTACATGGGCCTATCATTCTTTATAATCGAGATACAGGGTGATTTATTGATTTTCCCCATTTCTTGAATTAATCATAACTTATGAACCACCCTATACATCTTTCTGATATTTGGTTAGTATGTTCCTTGTCCACAGTGGTGACGAATGACATAATGAAAAAAAGTTCCAACCCAGGGCCGGCGTTGAAAAAATCAATGAGCGATTAGAAATTTATTATAGGTACTCTGACACGGTTTTGATTCTTAAAATTTGAAATGATATCAATATCTTTCACCCTTTTTGAAAATTTGTATGCCAATGAATTTCTTAGTGAGAATGTAGAATGAATTTCACCGATAGTTATTAATTAACCTCATTTATTTTCACACTTACGCATTGAATAAAAGTAAAGTAGACTGTTATTATTATTATGATCAAAAGTGACACTTCGTTTGACAAGCGAATTTTGCATTTGCGAGGCCGAGCGTCTAGCGAAGCCGAGCGGAAGCAAAAATTGCGAGTCAAACAAAGTCACTTTTGATCCGAATGAAACATGCTATTCATTCTGCAACCGAAATAATGAACTGAAATATGTAAAGTAACCACCAATGTGACTAACTCAACAGAATATAATAATGCCTTTATTAGTGAGTAGATAGAAGCAAGACCTCAGACGACTTCACTTTGTTACAATTTGTGTTGACATGCAGAATTATCATTGACAAGTAATGATATTACACAACATACATAATTGATGAAATAAAATAACAAACAAACCTTGCATGTACATTGAATGCAATTTACCTGCATTCACAGATTATGAATATTAAATTTTCAAGGATGTTGGGATTGTAGTTTCAATATAAATACAACAAACAACCACAGAGTGATCCATCTGTGTATTCTATTGAATCGATGTTCATTTAGACCAGATGTCAGCCTTTGTAGCAAATACTGCGCCAGTGTGGAAGTGGAAAATGTTAGGCTAGTGAGAATATCATCGATAATAATCAATAATATGATAGCAAATATTCATTCCTCTCCATATTCCACTGTGTTTGGCGTGGTAATCAAATGGAGGTGTACAATATTGTTGTGTGAGACAAATCAATCAGTTCCCGAGAATAAGGAATGACATACAGATCAAGCAAGTATGTGAATCTTGAGGGAATTCATGATCAAAATAAAAATAGTTGAATATGATATGGTGTATTTATATCTCCAGCATGGGTATGAAATGCCAAATCTGCCGAAATCGTTAACAAATCGGGCCTTACCTAGAACACTTTTCTGTTACCACAGGAATTCTCACTACCAGTGCTTGAAGTCATCACTTGTCAATTGCCAGATGTATCTGTTTAATTTTTGAAATACAGTGATCTTTTCAATATTGAAATGGATCTATCACATTTTATCATCATGAAAACGTCATCCTTTAGGAGAATGAAACGTAGAAAATGACGAAAAAAATCGTCGAAATGTCGTCCACATTACGTCAAATCATGGCGAACCGTTCGTCGATATGACATCAATTATAATGGTCGAATTGACGACTCCTGACGTCGCATTGACTTCTCCAGAACGTTGAATTAACATCACACGAATGACCCAATCGACGTCAAAATATCACGTCGAAATAATCTTACAAAATGACGTCTTTGGGCTGTGGCATAATCACGTCATCCTACCGTCATTATGACCTTCTAGGGACACCCTGTATATCCTGTTAAAAAAACCTCACTCTCAGATTCACCCTGTATATGTGTTCTACGGTCAAAGTACACAAACAATAGGGAAACCGGAATGATGTTCTCTAGGCTGCTGGTTGGCTAGCTAATACATGCATCTAAGTCACGAATAGTCTAATCATATTGTGTTCTCGCTCGGATTACAAAAAAAATTCTATACATCATTAACATCATTTATGATACTCAGGGTGAGTAATAAATACTCTTGACAAGATGCAATTTGGAATTTCTCATTATTGAAATTTCTCCATCAATATTTTCAGTTATAGTTCTTTTTCGCGAATACGTGGAAATATTACATAAAATTGATATTCAGATTTCCCCCGTATTGTCCAAAAGTTATTGGGAAAACTGACCAGCCATAGAAGTATTATCACTTCCGCCGTGTGATTCTATGCGCACCAGTTTTTTTATATCAGGTTCTGTTTTTATCCGAAAAACTTTGACTGTTTTGCTGTTAGAACATTAGGCTTTGGCATCATCAATCTCTTCTCACGAAAACTTCCCGAAGTCCCCTGAAAAACATATAGTCAAAAACAAATTTGGATGTAACTGCTGCCCTATTCTACATACAAATGGTAGAAAGTTGTGAGGGCTTCCTCGGTCCTCACATTACTCTGGGTATGACACAAATCATGTAGATTTATGTATCTGGGCGTTCAGGATTTCAGGATATGTGTCCCTCTATATATTGTCCCTCTAGACTCTAGCCCCTCGTGAGTCGGGTGTTTGGAATTCATTGTTTCAATGCGAATATTGGCGATAATCGAGTTTTTATTTGACACTTCGACACATGGCTATGAATATATTCGAGGTGATTTGGATTTCGAATCCGTAAATAAATTTGCCTGGGCGAAAAGCTTGTTTTTACGCCGACAGGAGTAGAAGTTAGTTTCTCTGGTAAGAAAAGAGGTGCAGAATTGTGGTATCGAATCTCATCATAAACTCACTGGGTCATCATAAAGTAGATCTATTACGACTCAAGGTAGAATTCCTGATAGCAAGACAACCAATCAATAAGGGTGAGGAACTTGAAATAAATCAACAGACTAACTTATACTGCCTTCAATTTCAAATGAGTTTATAAGTTGCTTTCACATCTAACAATTCCCAAAATGGATTAACTCGATATGTATAGGATGAACGGATGGAAAGCATCAGAAGTTTTCAACCTTCCATTTGAAGGTGATTGGATGAGAAGATATTCGCACACAAAGTTCATAAATTAATTTATAACAAATTAAGAGTTGGTAGCAATGTGAATTATTACGACGTCGGTTCAATTGTGCCACTATACATGTTGTTATCCATCGTTCCATAAAGTTTTAATTTTATTTCATCTTTGAGATTGGATTGAATCACTAGCTGCTGTGATCATTCATCTTCTAATGAGTTGGGAAGCAGTCGAATCAGTTAGATTTCTTCGTTTTGTTTCGAGCTTTCGTATTTTTTTCTTCATGAAGACTCACTATATAAAAACTAAACAGTTGAGTTTCGTCACATTTCAGACGTATTTGGAGTTCTAAAAATAACACTGATCTGAAAATTTGTATACAGGGGTTATCGATGGAATCCTGATTTCAAGATGTCGACACTTTCGGCTGTACCAGAAGTAGACATCAACTTCATTTCAAATGGAAAGCTATACCTATATACAAGGTGTCAACAAATAAGTGTCACAACAGACAACTGTAGATTGCTCATGAAAAAAGAAACATTTTTTTCATTTTCGAAATTTTTCCCCGGGCCTCCGTTATCAAGATACAGGGCGTCAAAAAAATACAAAAAAATCTGTTTTTTGCTACTAACTCAGGAGCCGTCTGAGCTACGGAGTTAAGCCTTCGTACACACTTCAACATCAATAATGACAACTTTAAGGGCTCTTGATCAATTTCCTTGGACATGTCAGTGAAGGAGAATTCAACGCCTCGTAAGGGTTTAGCCCCCCAAACATTTATGCCACTGGAGAAATTGTGATATTCAAAGTAGATTCTGAAGCGCCAATATTTTTCACACAAAAAACGTCCTCTTGCCTCAATGCTCTAAAGTGCACAGTTTCCGAGAAAAATGGCTCTTTATGAATAAGAACATACAAAATCCTGATGGTATCTCCAAAAATCGTCTAAAAATCCACTAGAAATAAACACCTCAGAACTGTCTAATAATATGTTCAATCAAATGTCAGGTTCTTCAGTATGCTGGTCTCGATGCTGGTTTTCAAATTGTTAAGTTTATTGAGTGTTGTGAGGTGTGTTCAATTAAACTGAACCTTCTTGATTTTTTGACGCCCTGTATCTTGAAAACGGAAGCCCGGAGAAAGATTTTGAAGAGGAAAGAAATGTTTCTTTTATTATGAGGAATCTACAGTTTTCCGTTGTTACACTTATTTCTTAACACCCTGTATATTCATTGTACCAGAAACATGTCGTGTGATTGATAATTTTGTGAAAATCTTATCGTTTGTGAAGTCTTTACATCTGCTATATTTTTTTATTGTTTTCTAGATTCCTGATGGTATTCAAGTCGATCTTTATCAGCTTTTCCAATACCTGAGTCTAGTCGGCTTCGAGATATGCAGACTATTTTGATTCTTTTTCGTTCTCACCTTTCTCTTTGGGAATCGATAGGTAACTCTGATATATTCTGATATATCAGAATCATTTTTGAGCGTCAGTAAGAGGAGGGATTATAGGAAGTAGCTGTCACTTCATTTGTAGTGCAATATGAAATTATATAAG